AGGAAGAAAACATTTTATCTTGGGGAGGATGTGGAACTCTTCACATGCCCTGGAACACTCGAGAATATACTCTGCAGAAAGTATAGAAAGGGGGAGACCCAAGCATAAGACTTAGGAGACCTGGCCTGGGTTGCAATTTTTTTAAAAATGGGGAGTGTGATGCTTTTTCATCTGCAGACCTCCTGCCCTTCCATATCCTGAATTCACTTACAAATAAATAAATGGTTCCCCCTCCCCTCCACATGAGAAACCACAAAATATGCTGTGTGAATTATTTGCAGGCCAGACTAATGTACAATTAGCTCTCTTTACTGGCCTGTTGCATCCATGTCCTTCCACCTGCCCCACAGGATCTGGAAAGTGGGAAGAGAACATCGAAAACACAAAGGGCAAAAACTCTCAATGCCCAGGTTTTCCTAAATTTGCCCTTTCGATTGACCCAAATGTCATGAAACAGATAAACTTATTTCTGCAAAGAAACCCAAAGTTTGCTGGGGTATAAAATCATCCCCCTTGGGTCTCCAATCTTCAATCAGATAGTAAGAGATTTGAGGATTATTTTAATAGCTAAGGGACCTTAACATCTGTGCAAAGCAGATGTTGACGGGGGGGTGGAAACCTTGCAATATGTTAATAATCTTAAACGTTCTGTTTATTACCTAGCCTTTGGTGTCCCTTCCATGCTGTGGCTTTCAACTTCATCGTTCTGATGCTCCTGGTCTGTCACACAAGGGCTGTTTTCGCTGACCCAGGTGATTCTCCATCCCTTTCCGTTTGGCCTCCTAGTCCCGTGCTATATTTTTGCAAAAGCACTGTTTTGCACAGGTACACTAATAGGTCCAGCTGTTGTGCTGAGTTGTGTTGTTTAATTTTCCTGCAGCCTGTGAACCCAGCTCAGTTTTGTAAACCATGCTTTATGGCACAATATAATACCCAAACCTAGCCAGCGATGACTTTCTCAACACTCCATAGCTTAGGGTAGTGTGTTTCAAACTGAGCAACTTTAAGATTGTGGACTTCAACTCCCAGAGTCCTCCAGCCAGCATGCAAGCATCTTAAAGCATGCTGGCTAGGGAAT